TGCACCCTCAGAGAGTAGTGATCAGTGGTTCACAATCCTGCTGAAAGGGAATAATGTGTGGTGTTCCACAGGGATCAGTTCTGGATCCATTTCTTCTCATATCTTTATCAATGTATTGGAATAGAGAATATGCTTATTAAGTCTGCAGATGATATGAAGCTGGGAGGGGTTGTAACTGCTTTGGAGGATGATAAGGTCATAATTCAAAATGATCTGGACAAACTGGAGAAATGGTCTGAGGTAAACAAGATGAAGTTTAATAAAGACAAATGCAAAGTATTCCAGTTAGGAAGGAACAATCAATTTCACACATACAGAAGGAAAAGCGACTGTCTAGGAAGGAGTACTGCAGAAAGGGATTTAGGGGTCAAGCTAAATATGAGTCAACAATGTGATGCTATTGCAAAAAAAGCAAACATGAATCTGGGATTTATTAACAGGAGTGTTGTGAGCAAGACACAAGAAGTCATTCTTCCACTCTACTCTGCACTGATCAGGACTCCATTGGAGTACTGTGTCCAGTTCTGGGCACCACATTTCAAGAAAGATGGGGAGAAATTGGAGAAGGTCCAGAGAAGAGCAACAAGAGTGATTAAAGGTCCAGAGAACATGATCTATGAAGGAAGATGGAAAGAATTGGGCTTGTTTAGTCTGGAAAGGAGAAGACTAAGAGGGGACATGATAGCAGATTCCAGGTATCTAAAAGCGTGTTACAAGGAGAAGGGAGAAAAATTGTTCATTTGGCCTCTGAGGATAGAACAAGAAGCAATGGGCTTAAACTGCAGCAAGGAAGGTTTAGCCTGTACATTAGGAAAAAATTCCTAACTGTCAGGGTGGTTAAACACTGGAATAAATTGCCAAAGGAGATTGTGGAATCTCAATCTCTGGAGATATTTAAGTGCAGGTTAGATAGACATCTATGAGGGATAGTCTAGACGGTACTGGGTCCTGCTGTGAGGGTAGGGAACTGGACTCGATGACCTCTCAAGGTCCCTTCCAGTTCTAGTGTTCTATGATACCATGAAGCTCATGATTTGGAGTCGGGGGCAACCTATAAAGCACCCCTTTTCCTGTATCCTGAAATGTTAGCCAGATAAATAGTCTAGCATGTGGAAAAAGAAGGAGCCAGGAAAAAACATGCTCTCTGGGGCACCTACACCTGGCTACCTCACCTATGAGCAAGAAAGAGGCACTGTGATGGAGTGGACTAGGACCCAATGGCCCCCTGCTGGAGAACTCAGGGTCCAGCCACACCTATCCCACAAAAGGAGCAGTAGAGAAGTCTTCCAAGCAGGTTAGAGTGACAGGACTGGGACTATTATTGAAAGAATGCAGACATACCCAACCAGAGGGGTGCTCGCAAGAGTTGGCTGCCGACACTATTACAGGCATGAAATGGGCAAAGCTGGGAGTCTGCTCCTCTTCTCCACTACCACAATGCACCTCCCAGCATGAGGTGGGAATAGGAGGCAACCTGTCAAGGACTGCAATAACTTACTTCATCTCCAGAGTCAGATGAAGTCCCCTGGGAGGCGCTGTTACCCCCTGTACTCAACGCAAGGTAGGTATAAAACATGTGAGTATTCTAAAGACTCATTAAACTGCTGTAATTTATTCTCATTTTAAACAAAACTTCACGCTACCAGGACAATATAAAGTGCCCTGTATGTGAATGAGACCCAAAGTCTCCGTCTAGTCCTTTCAATAGTATCCCTTAACACTATAATTAATTTAAAATTAACATACCATGGTTTAGTTTCTGATACAATGCTATTAACTACCAAAGCCTTGACTTAATAAAATAGAAGACTATGTCTGCATTAAGAAAATAATTAACATGTCAGTAATCCCTGGACAGACAGCTCTTTAATAATGTTGAACAGGGAATTTAGAGAAAAAAAATAATTTAGACTAGTAAATGAATATTCTTTCCAGCAGACTTAGTTTTCTTAAAAAAAAAATAAAGCCTTGCTGGATCTAATTTTTAAAGGTTGATTTTGATGGTATAATTTACCTCCCCAGAAAAGAACACTCTGAGGGCCAGCACATAAAGAGCATGTGAATCTATTCAGTCAAGGCACAACCAGCAATTTCCCCTGAACTGCATTTATGTTTAATGAATGAAATCTCTGCAAGTCAGAGGAAAGTTCTAGAATATTGTTGCCTAGATTTTACAGCTCACTTTGTTTCTATCTGCAAACATAATTATGTTTTTATCAACTGCTTGCTTTGAATCAAACATGTTCTACTTTACATTAAGAACCAGGTTATGTATGCTGCTGCACTGGGGCTGAGAGGAAGGTACATACGGAAAGGTAAGGATACTCTCTCATTCTTGCAACACTAGGCAGTGGCCTGCCTCCATCACACAGTTGCTAAGTACAGGATGTGCTGTGATTTTTCCCCCAACCTGACAAAACGACATCACACACTGCAACTTTATTTGGAGCAGATCAGGAAAAGGGGGGAAATGTCATGAAGTTTTAAATACAGTGAAACCTTTGTTATCCGGCACTCTGTTAACCAGAAAACTTTGATAACAAGCATTGCCCCCAGCCACAATACTGTCACATCCTCAGGCACACTGGCCTGGCTTGGTTTACCATGATTGGCTTATCAATTTTTTATTTAAGAAGTACTAATCATCTTTACCTCAAAATAGAAATGTGAAACCAACCGCCTCATACTACAAAACTACCAATATTAAAAACTTGAGTTTTACTATTATTGTCCATTGGTTTTTCCTAGGTTGATAGGACCCTCAGATAACTGGAATTTTTAGATAACCAGAACGCCCTAATCCCCGAGTGTGCCGGATAACACAGGTTTTACTGTAATTGAAAAACAGAAATTCATGTGATGGATTTCATTTTACAAACTGATAAGCTTGAGATTCTTAAGGAAAACACACGACACAGAAGTGAATCCCCCTGTCTACCAGCTAGTTAGGCCTATTTCCCTTTCATATTTACCCTTAAATATGACTTAACTGACTTATTTGCTTTTATGGCCCTTAGCCATTTATGAAACTTCTACCAAACTGATCCAAATGTACTAAAACTACACACAGTTGATCCAAAGTAGGCTTCAAAAGACTGCACACCTATTAACATTCATAAGACACTGAATTCAGTTGTCCTGTCTTCCCATGTTATTTCCAGAATTTTATGCCAGTTCTATGAAATGCACTGTGACACAACCTTCTCTGAACATAGACTTCAGACAGAAATCTGCTGGAAGAAAAGGAAATAATCTCAAGATTATGTTCTATTAGTCACATCCGTTCCATTAGTCACAGCCTTTTCTTTTCTTTTCTTTTCTTTTCTTTTCTTTTCTTTTCTTTTCTTTTCTATATGTGTGTTTGGGTTTGGTCATGTATAAAGCTGCAGCATTGACTCAAAACTGACTTAGGAGGAAAAGTGACCCTTTGAGGCACACTGCAGAAGCTACTTCTCTAGGAGCCCACAGGTGGATGAGATTTGTGAGGTTTTTCCACATGCTCAACTCTGCTGAAAATATGAGAAGTCATAGGATCATAGGACAAAGTGGGAAAAAAAAGGATAACAGGACTAGTGATAGAAATGTAGCCGTGTCAGGACTATGTAGCACTTTAACGACTAGCAAGATGGTTTATTAGGTGATGAGCTTTCGTGGGCTAAACCCACTTCCTCAGATCAAATAGTAGAAGAAAATTGTCTCAACCATATATACCAAAGGATACAATTAAAAAAATGTATCCTTTGGTATATATGGTTGTGACAATTTTCTTCCACAATTTGATCTGAGGAAGTGGGTCTGGCCCACGAAAGCTCATCACCTAAGAAACCATCTTGTTAGTCTTTAAAGTGCTACTTAGTTTGATAACAGGACTAGGCTTCCAATAAAAAATAGCTTCCAATAAAAATAGAAACGTTTTAGGCTGTTTCATATTTCTAAATGTTGTGACATAAGGTAGATCTGATACAATAATTAAATACAACAGGAAAAGGAGTTTTGCTATACAGTACCTCTTCTATACAAATCATTATACAATTACATACTGAATATTTTTATGTAAATGAGATGATGTGGAGATCAGCCAGTGGATCACTTACTTATTTCCCTATCCAGAATACAAATATCACTTAAAAGGATTAGCCAAGTATAACTACTGATTGAATTTCTCTAATCCAGAACTTTCTCATCCAGAAACATCTGTCATCCAGAATGATTTTAGTTAGCTGGATGTCCACCTTTCATGTCTGTGGACAAGTTTTCTGCGGTCCCATAAAATCTGTTTACAGCCACCAGTCTGAGTTCTCGGTGTTCTGTGCCATTATTTTGCTCTTATTTACCTTAAATCCTCTAACAGAATACTAAGCAGTGGAAGTGTTGATAATGCTTTGGTCCAGAAAATTTTCTTGTTCTGAATCGATCAGGTCCCAAGAGTTCCAGACTAGAGAGGTTCATCCTGTAATTAATTGCTTATAAATAGGTCTCTTTAACTCTCCTCATACTCCACCATACTCTCCTCTTGCATCATAAGCATATTGGTTAATGTCTCATCACATAAAGATTTAAGGATGAAAGAAAGTGCATGGCAACTTGTTGACTGAGGTATAAATCCCTTCTTGAGAAAGGAAAGGTCTCAGACTTTCTAAGTAATTACAGACAAATAAATTATACTGATCTTTCCTTGATATTACTGTTAATGTACTCCCCATGAAAAAAAGGAGTCAATTATGGATTTTGTCTATAGATGTTCAGCTTTTATTAATTCCAACCAGCTAGCACTAATGTGTTAAACCACCATTTTAGGGGGAAAAAAGCTATTTCCTTCACTGTATAGATGCTGTATGTGCACACTCTACGTCAGTTAAGATGATGGTGAGTTTAATTAAATTATATTCATCTAAATAAAGGAGAGGGATTAGAGAATTTGCAGACAGACAGTTCAGGCCCATTGATGCACTTACACAAGATTAAAGGGAAGATGTCAGAATAGATTAATATTAACATACCTCTCCTGATTTCCTTCTGTGATATGATATAGGCGATTAGCACCGCCGTCAGCACAAGCTCTTAGAACAGCTGAAAATAAAGAAACAGGTTGTCAAGATACTTCTAGACATGTCTGTGATGATCACTACAATAATGACTGAGAATCTTACAAACATCAGTAGACAAACCTTCACAAAAACAATGCACGGTGAAAATCTATTGTAAGAAACATTACCCCAGTTATATGATCAATGAAACTGAGGTATAGAATGTGAGACTTTCGGTAAATCAATTATGTCCATGGCAGAGCAGAGAATAAACCACAAGACCATTCACCTCCTCCCTTCTTAGGCTTTTGGACGTCTTATGTTTACACACATATTTGCAACAGTTTAATTAAATTGGTTTTGTTAAACAAGTGCAGCCCTCCATGTGAACACACTTATTTCAGTTTGTGTGGCTTATTTAGCTTTCACTTGAACTTGATCCCAATCAACTTAGGCTAAACCAAACCAACCAAACAAACAAAAAAAGGCACTCAAAGAATGTCTAGAGTCCTGAGCGGATACAAAATTTGTATCCGCATCCACATCTGTACCCACAAAAACAAGCTGCGAATATCCACATCCACGGATGTGAATACCCACAGATATAAAGTGATTATCTGCATCAACTTTCTCATGCAGTCAAGGCCTTAGTAACAGTACCCACATAGGATATGTCTACACTGCAGTTAAAAACCGGCAGTTGCTCTATGCCAGCTGAAGCAGATGCACATGACTTTAGCTGCAAGACTATTTAATTGCAGTGCAGACTTCTGGACTTTGGCTGGCGCGAGATAGGAGAGGTCACAGTGTTTGGACTGTAGCCCCAACCCGGACATCTCAATTCTAATTAAACAGCCCCACAGCCTGAGTCCCTTGAACCCAAGTGAGATGGCATGAGCCAACCATGGGTATCTAATTCAGTGCAGGCATACCACAGGCAGTGATTTATGTGCAAAATGGAATAGACTGTTCAAAGCACTACTGGTCTGATGTGATCCCTGTTTTACTTTTTTTGCTTTCTTTCTTACATTCTCTATGCCACAAGGCACAATTCTGGGTCCATGATGTTAACGAGATAGGTAAATAATTCCTTTACTGATCCCCAGATGGTTTGACTCGATTAAATCTTATTTAATACTTAAATCTACAATTCCTTCACCTTGTCTAGTCTGTTGCATCCACCCCACCCACTCATAAAATTCCTTGTTTCGATCTCCCCAACCCACAGGCTCCTTGTCCAATCTGATGCCCATCCCAGTAGATTTGATCCCAGCAAGTCAGGGTCTATTCTTGTTAGCTAGAGCAACCAATCAGAGACCTGAAAAAGGCGGTTTCAGAGTCTGTTTGTATTTTGTGACACAAGAAGTTATTGGGTTTCTAAGTGTTTCTGAGTAATCAAATAGCTTGAATGGCAAAGAATACATCGTTTCTCCTGCATTTGGCTGAAAGGTTGTAACCTTTTCTCTTGAATTAAGATATCACTCTGTGCCCTTGTCGCCTTGAGATTGGATTACTGTAATTTTCTTTTACAGAGGGGTATTTGTAAAGATAGTTTCAGCCAGTATACAATTGGACGCTTCAGCTAGTATACAATTTGCTAGCTCATTCAAGTAGCAACACTCCTCACAGGGAGAGCACACAGCGGCTGTGTCACATAATCTACACTAGCCACCAGCTTGCTTCAGAGCACATAACAGTCTTGTTATCTATAAACTGAGCAATGTTTGGAGTCTGTCCAACAGATGGGTTTTCTTTCTTCTTGGGATACCACAGCGGCAGGTCAGCTGAGACGTTTGTCCTAACCACAGCCACAAGACAACTGCAGGAAGGGCATGCTCAGTGAATGGACCATAGATTTGAAACCTGCTTCTGTCCTCGCTACACTAGAATCTCAAGTCTGTTATCTGTCTGAATGTGCTTCAGTGTCCATCTCCTTTCCCAGGGCTTAAAAAAAACAGATGGATTAGAATTTAGTGGGATGTTTATACACGTAAGAGAGAGGGACGACTCCATTACTAGTCTTTGGTTTATTTTGAAGTGACCTAGATCCTCAACTGTTTGTAAAGCTGCATGACTTCATCAGTGATAACAATCATTTACTACAGCTAGAGTTTTGGCCAACTGTCTTTAAATATGCATAAATATCCACACTCCCTCTCCAAAATAAAGAGGAGCTAAAATAAATTAACCCTCATTTGGTCTGTTCATTGTTGGGATTCTAACGAAGACCTAAAGCTCAACCGTCTTTCCCTCTCGTGTGCCACTGATACAGAGCAACTATTGAAATTAAAATAGCTACCTTACTTAGCCAGGATTTAAAAAGCTCCCTCCTCCCATTCAGTAAATTTATTAAGAAAGCCATTTACAAAGTGCTGATCCTTACCTGCAAGTTAATGACTTACACTGGTATGGACCAAAGCCCCAGGTACTTCAGGTAACTAGCAAGTAATTAACTGTTGGGCAAAAAGTCAATAACTCACAGTATGTTTACAGCTCTGGACCAAACATTGCTTGATAAAAAGTAATTATATGCATTAGCTATAAGAAGATGCAGCACTATTACCCAGATGAATTCAAATAGACAGTCAGCAATCTTTACCTTACAAATCAGATGGAAAAAAATCCCTACGAAAAGCTAAAACACGAAAACAGAAGTGTATTTTATATAGTGCTGTTTATATCAAAGATGAAAATGCTTTAAAATAGCTAATTGGTCACTGTATAATGCACCAATTGTGTAGGCAATTCTAGCAGGCTCTAGGCATGCAGCAGCAGCTTACCCAAAGTTAATTATTATTAATTATTTGAAATACAGCAATGCCTAAAGGCTTCAGCCAAGATTTAGGCCCCATTATGCCAGGCACTGCATAAATAGCACATAATAAAAGAAAGTCCTTGCCCCCAAAAGCTTGCAGGCTAGACAGACGAGGCAGACAAAAGAATCAGAGAAAGATTGGAACAGAACCCATATCCGTTGTGGGCAAAGAAGCTGGGTTTTTTGAAATAAGGAATATTAGACAAAATATGGATATTACCCCCTGATCTTTAACATCTACTACATAGCCCCTAGAAAGTTTTATATTTAATGTGAATGATATCTTTACCAGTGCAGCATCATAACCTGGACAACATCGTGGAGGAGGCAGACTCGCAGAACACGGCAGACATTTTGATAGGCCTCTTACAAGAGATACAAGCATAAGGGGAAAAAACCCCTAAACAAATGGAAACATGGTCCTATGATGAAGTTGCTAAGGAAAGGAGACCTCAGTCAGTGGCAGATCTGGAAGAGCCTTCAACTGGTGTCCATCCCAGTGAAAATACGTGTACACATTACCCTAAATAGACTAAAGAAGGTAGTGAAAGTCCCCTTCCTGTTTGCTTGGTGGTGGGTAGTGAATTCTCAACTCATCTCTCCAGCTGATGATGCTTGCTCTAAGCACCAGGAGATCCCCAGCTTGGAGCCATGCTGAGGCGCTAGATCTCATCAGCATTTGGGGAGAGGAGGCTGTCCGGTCTCAGCTGCACTCTAGCTATAGGAAGTGGGTAGTTAATAATCATCACAATTACCAATTTCTCTCTGAGTAAAATTCATTCCTGGACTAATGTCTGGCATGTCCAGCTGTGATGTTCTGAACAAAAGAGAAGATAAAGACAAAGAGTAAAGAAAATATGTTTTCCTAAGCACAACTAACTCAGCAAGACAAACATAACTTCAGCCATGTCTTATAATTACAATACTATGTATTCAGTTCCCTTATAAGAAGGGCCTTTTAGGGATTTGAAATTAACAAACATAATAAACTCTCTCAGTTATGAGAGTTTACCCCCATCTCTTTATATTGTCCCATAACTTTTTCTTGCCATCTTTTCCCATGCATATCTGTTCCCCTCTGCTCCACTCCCTCATTAATTTAAAGATTTGGTAACCTGGTTACCATAATTAACCTACTGAAATAATCTACACATAAGACATCCTCTACCTAATAAATGACTTGAAATTGTGGTATTTATAAGTAAACTATATGGTAGAAATGCACAAAATTGCTTTGTTTGCTAAAACATATGACTAACAAGTTCTTTGCTTCATCATTATAGTAATAATGTTAGATCATGAGCAATAGAAATCCATAGAATTGAGCATTCATGGTTTTTGCACATTTTCCCTTAGTTTTACAGAAGTTATGAGAATACAGTCACAGAATCCATGTATTTCTTTTGCTCCAGCTCTCCATGAAAAGTTCACCCGAGGCTGTAAATCCATGTAATTGTGTCAAACATTAATGTAGCTATAATGCCTACTTCTCACCATTTAAAATAAATATATTTTAAGCTAATTCATCTACAAGTAAAAATGTCTAGTCTTGACACTGATATTTAATTGTATTCCTATATTTTCAGTGCTGCACAGGGCTTGAAACAACCATGATTAAGCATACCATCTGTGCTCAGGTTACACTGTGACATCAACAAAATTAATGGGATACAAGGATCTTTCCTAACTAGAAGTTACAGGCTGTGGGAGATGAGAGAAGCATATCACAGGAGCACTGAGCACTGCACAGGATTAAGCCGACAGTTATGACTGTGTCTGCAATTTCATTTACAACTACGCATGCGCCATTTTAGCAACAAAATGATGGCTTTTAAATTCTATAAGTGCAAAAAAGAAAAAGTCTTCTGAGTTTCAGATGTTTTATATGAATATCATTCAAATGGGCAATTAAAAAAATCACATCTTTCAAGCATATGTCATTAATATTGTAGCTGCAGGTCCACTTCTGTACGTTATGCCTTATGGTGCTTAGAACAAAAGACAACAACGTACTTCTGGCAATTATGGGTTCCTTTTGCAAGAATTCCTCCTGCAGTTATTCCACCTGAAGACGTGAACTCTTCAGATTTCACAATAGCAATGTTAACCAGTTAACCAGTAAGCATACCAGTAAACATTAGGATTACCGGTATGCTTAGCTGTTAACCAGCCCTTGCCAGTTAACTCCGACAACAGCCAGCCACACTGGGCCAGAGCAGCCCCAGCCA